GTATATATATATATATATATATATATTAGTGCTGTCAAAATTAGCACGTTAACGCAGGTGATGAATTTTTTCAGTTTAACGCGTAAAAAATATTTAACGCAATTAACGCAAGGGCGGGGCTAGTGTTGGCCACCCCACTCACTACTGCTGCTTCTGTCACTTTTTCTCTTGACAAGAAGTACATTTATTCAGTCACAGAACGACTGAGAACGGGAGACGTTTCAGACACGTGCTCCACTTCACTTCAGCGCCAGGCGTGAGTCAAGCGAGCACGAAAACGGTACTGTGCTCACAGCACGTGCTCTTCAGTTGCACGCACAAAGGTGTCGGCGCACGCTGTACACTGTAAAAAAAAAATCTGTAGTTTTTACAAAATAATTTTGGCAGTTGTGGTTGCCAGAATAATTTTGTAAAAAATACAGAAAAACTGTAAAAACATTTACAGAACAAACTGTAAATTGTACAGTATAAAACTGTAATTTACGAACAAGAAAATTTGAGTGTAAACTAGTAAATTCAACAATGCACACTGCTACAAAAATCGGTTTCGTATCTTTAACATAAATTGACAACCACCATAATAATGCAGCTGGTAAAAGAGACAGCAATGTGAAGAATCAGTTCATCACAAGTAGCTTTTCCACAAGCTGAAGTATATACTAATATATAGAAGGCACACAGAGTCATTCACGCAAACACTAAACACCAGCATGATAACACACACATGACACTTAAATAATGCAATAAACATTCATTAAACAACAGAAGATGAAACATAAACCCACATCTACATAACCGATAACAAACATGACAAAACTATTAAAAAACATGATTATTTAAACAAAATACTTTCAAATGTGGAGTGTCATGCAGGGAATTCTGGGAATATCAGTTTACAGTTTTTTTTTACTGTAAATTATACGTTGATTTGTTATTTTTTTACTTCTAAAAATTGTATAATTAACAGCATTTTATTGTAAAATTACATGGAATGGCCGGTTAGATCTTTTACAGTTTTTCCCTGATACTGGCCTTCAGTCATAAAAAAAGATGCCATTAAACGAATATAAAAAAAATATACTGCCTTTATGTTGTTTGTACATTCATTTGAAGATTGAATGTGAAATTATTGCAAAAAAGTATATTTAAAAACGTTAATGTTAGGTAGGATTAATCGCGATTAATTTCAGAAAAATGTGCAATTAATTAGTTAATTTTTTTAAATCGATTGACAGCACTAATTTATAATATAAAATATATATATATATATATATTGAAGGGATATTTTAAAATGCAGTAAAACAGTTACATTGTGAAATATTATTACAATTAAAAATAAATGTTTTCTCTTTGAATAAAATGTAAGTTGTAATTTCTTCCTATGAGGGCAAAGCTGAATTTTTAGCCATGACTGATGAATAGTAATTCATCAAAGAATCTAGAACAGCATTTATTTAATATAATATTGTAATATTATAAATGTCTTTACTTCCACTTTAGATTAATTTTATGCATCCTTGCTAAATAAATGTATTATTATTATTATTATTATTATTTTTTTTTTTTTTTTTTTATGTCTTGCCCCATTTTTTAAAATTGTAATATTTCTCACTAGTACTGTTTTATCTGTATTTTTATTTGTGGATGTTTGTCTTCTGTTTCTTTCAATTTTAATGTTTATATACTATGGAACTGTATGATACTATATTACTGTATCAGTTTTTTTTTCTGTACTACAGTCACCCCTGACTGCTCCTCTGTAGTATGATTCGTGTGTCAGTGTGAATGTGTAATTCAGATATTCTGCTCTTCTTTCTTGCTGCCACCCATGTCAGAGCTCAACCCTGCAGGTGAGTGACAGAAAGGACCTCAGAACAGGATATATGTTTCCTATCATCAGATGTGACTGCATATGTTCAGCTGTAGGCAAACACTTTAATATGCAAACATGTTCATAAATATACACACAAAGCACAGGGCATTTCTAATACACATTCACTGCAGTAGTTGATGTGTCCAGTAAGGGGTAGGGGGTGACAGCATCATGCAGGTGATTTTATTTCCCATCTGACAGACAAGAAAGTGAGTATGTCATGTCCTTCTTTGCTCTAAAGTAGTGGTTCCAAAACTTTTTTGTCATCCAAATCCCTTAGACATAAACTTTGAGATTTTAAGTTAATATTTCAATAATTTAACAACACATTCGCATGTTCACAGTTTTCTGATGTCGGTTAATGGTCAAAACATGCAAGTATACCAATAAAATATTAAAAAAAATTTTTTTTTACTAAGTGTTTATTTATTAAGTTGTTTTTATGTACTGCGTAGGGCTGTGTGATTTGCCCCAAACAAAAAATCATATAACTGTAATTATAAATGAAGACAGAAAAAATAAATGTGATATATTATAAAAAAAAATAAAATTACATCAAGTTGGGATTCTTAAATTATTCACATTCAAAACCTCAAGATTTTAGCATTTCAAATTCAAGCTTTTATTTTGGCGGAATATTGAAATGCTGTCAACCTCTGCCCACAATAATGTTGGAAATTATGTGAATATATAAATTAAAGTGTACCTAGCCCACATTGGCTTCCCAAATGCAAGGTTAGACTCAAAGCACATTCAGAAATGATGTTCAGAACCAAGCTGAAATGAAACCCTGCTCTCAAGTATGACATTAGATCAGTGGCGCATGCCCCTACAGTACAGGTTTAGATTACCTTAACAAAAATAACAGGAAAGCATTACTGAAACTCCTGATGCACTCATCTACTCAACATATTATTATCCCATGTGTTTGTGAACAGTACATAGGTACTTATATTCTTTTCTTCAAACTCTCAGAGAGTCTCCTCTGCCTCATCCTTATTTCCAATAAGACTTGTTCAGTCAATTTTGGCTGAAATTTTTGAAGACTAGTCTGAAGATGAAACTTTTTACAGTTCGCTGTGTGTTTGAGTGGTTCTTGTCTTTTGTGTAATGACTTGTCTTTGTGTTTGCGCTCACTCTGTCAGGAATCCCTCGAGTATCTCAGTGTAAATTCAACCTGCCTCTTCGGTTAGTGTGCTACCCCTCCTCAGCTATCAAAAATGCCAAGTACAAGATCACTGTGGACACCAACAAACCTCCTGTCAACCTCAGTGAAGTCTTCCCAGGTACCACAACCAAACATATTTTTTCTAATTCTATTTCAGTCCAGCCATCTCTGGAAATTATGGATGAATCATACAAAAACACATTGCATCACATGTCACCTCAAGCTTCCTTGCCAAAAAGTCAACCATCAACCATAATCTCTATGTCTATTACCAACACTACTATTATAAGAGTCATGGGTTGAACTACTAATTTTACAGATTCATTAGTTAGCCACTGGGGGTGCTACAACAGCAACATCTGTAAAAGTTTGCATACCTTGGGTCTCACTTCAGCAAACATAAATGTATATTTTTTTATATATTGTTAAACATTGTACATTTCTACACGTGTGGCAGATATTTAGTGGGTGTAGTGTAAGGCTGTCAGTTGTAAGAGCCTTTACTGTGAAAAAAAAAAAAAAAAAAAA